AACAAGGTGAATATAGAAATCGAGCTGGCGACATGATTATAGGCTAAGGTTACTTCTGCTCGCCAGATACACTGAATTTCCTGCAATATTAACTGTGGTCGATTTGGTGCGCCAATGGCAACCGGAGAAAAACAACAGTTTGCCGATAACAACAATCGCTAATTAAATTTTTTGATTAATACCGCAAGTTGCAACAGTGATGGTTTTTTGCCATCCCAAACACCATCGATGTTTCTTCATCAGCTTCGCGCTGCTTACGCTCATCGAACTATCTGAAGAGTTTCAATGGCAAAACCGGCTTTTCCCACTTGTAACTAGACAACCAATTGCTGAACATGCGAGTGCAGAAATAATGGTTGTTTATTTACAATTGAACACAACACGAAAGAATGTTTTAAAGGCAGGCCAAAGGTGTGGCGATGCCAACAGCATTAAAGCCAATCAGGTAGGCAAACATTTGAGATTAAAAGCTTCATTAGTCAGCGGCCAGTGTACCTACGAAGAAAATAACAGAAAGTGTCTTTATTGGTGAAATTGGCATGATCAATTAGCACTTGGGCGAATAGGTGCTGGCGCTGCAGGGAACCTTTAGACTAACCCAGTTTCATATACATTCATATATTTGCATAAGATACAAGTCGTCTAGTGTGGATACCGTTAAAAATGTTGCGAACCACATCGTTTGAAATATGACGAGGCAACTTGTGAAAAACCGCAATTGTTTGCTGAGCTGAAAGGTGACTAGTGCCAAAAAGAACCGTTGATTCGGGCGAATTTTGCCAAAAATGACAAATTGACCTGAAAGGATCATAATCATTCAATTTTGTTATATTTAAAAATATTTTTTGGTCAGTTTTATGCTTTTTTACACAGAAACAATCGAGCGATTTTTATGTCATTTTGACCATTAATGGAAACTTCGAGACGCTAAATTCTTGACAGAAAGGCTTTTTTCGCAAAAATGCATAGTTTTTGGAAAACATTTCAAAATTGCTCTTTCAGAGTAAGTTTTTTGCTTTTTTGCACAGAAACAATATACTGATTTTGATGAAATTTGGCCCATTAATGGGACCCCTATATTTTTGATAGAATAACTTTTTTCTAAAAAATGCACAGTTTTTGGAAAAATTAAAAAATTACGCTTTTAGGGTAAGTTTTTTGCTTTTTAACACACACAATGGAACGATTTTTTTGAAATCTGGCCCATTAATGGATAATCCGAGAAGCTACATTTTTGGAAGAATGGTTTTTTTCGGAAAAATGCGTAGTTTTGTAAAATTTTCAAAACTGGTCTTTCAGAGTCAGTTTTTTGCTTTATTTACGCAGAAATAATCGAGCGATTTTGATGAATGTTTGTCCATTAATGGGAAATTCGAGACGTTACATTTTTGGTAGAAATGCTTTTTTCGAAAAAATGCGTAGTTTTTAAAAAAAATTAAAAAATGACGCTTCAGGGTAAGATTTTTGTTTTTTTACGCAGAAACAATGGAACGATTTTTTTGAAATCTGGCCCATTAATGGAAATTCCGACAAGCTACATTTTCGGTAGAATTGTTTTTTTCGAAAAAATGTGTAGTTTTTGTAAAATTTTCAAAACTGGTCTTTCAGATTCAGTTTTTTGCTTTATTTACGCAGAAACAATCGAGCGATTTTGATGAATGTTTGTCCATTAATAGGAAATTCGAGACGTTACATTTTTGGTAGAAATGCTTTTCTCGAAAATATGCGGTTTTTGGAAAAAATTAAAAATGACGCTTCAGGTTAAGATTTTTGCTTTTTTTACGCAGAAACAATAGAACTATTTTTTTGAAATCTGGCCCATTAATCCAAAATCCGAGAAGCTACATTTTTGGTAGAATGGGTTTTCTCGAAAAAATGCGTAGTTTTTGTAAAATTTTCAAAACTTTCAGTCTCTTTCAGTCAGTTTTTTACTTTAGTTACGCAGAAACAATCGATCGATTTTTTTAATGGGAAATTCAAAACATTACATTTTTGGTGGAAATGCTTTTTTCGAAAAAATGCGTAATTTTTGGAAAGTTTAAAACTACGCTTTCAGGGTAAGTTTTTTGCTTTTTAACGCAAATACAAAGGAACGATTTTTTTAAAATCTGGCCCATTAATGGAAAATCCGAGAAACTACATTTTTGGCAGAACGGGTTTCTTCGGAAAAATGCGTAGTTTCTGTCAAATTTTCTAAATTAGTCTTCCACAGTAAGTTTTTTGCTGTTTTCACGCAGCAACAAAGAAACGATTTTTTTGAAATCTAGCCAATTAATGGAAAATCCGAGAAGCTAGCAGAATAGTTTTTTTCGAAAAAATGCAGTTTTTGTCAAATTTTCAAAATTACTCTTTCACAGTAAATTTTTTGGTGTTTTTATGCAGAAATAATCCAGCAATTTTGATGAAATTTTGCCATTAATGGAAAATTCGAGACGCTACATTTTGGGTAGAAACGCTTAATTTCGCAAAAATGCATAGTTTTTTTATTAAGTTTCAAAATTGTTTTTGCCTTGCTTCACTCAGAAACAATTGAGGGATTTTTTTGGCCTATTAATGAGAAATCCGAGAAATTATATACTTTTGCATGTGCCTTGAGCTGCTAAACGTCGGTGCACTAATTTTTGGTCTGCGTAGCGATAAAAGATTAGGAGGACTGGGAGGAGAAAGAAAAAACCGTCAGAAAACCGAAAAAGTTGGTAAAAAAAAACAAATCATTTTCGTTGAAAGCGTTAAAAAAATCGCTAATTTGTTCTTCTTTACACATGCTTTTATGTATTTTGACTGCTGGCTCGAATGGTGCCATCAGTTTTTGTATTAGTACCGGGCAAAAAAGTTATAAGCAAAAATCCGCAAAAATCGCTGGAAATAATTCAAAAATTGCCAACAAAGAACCAGAAAAGAGAAGAAGAGCTTTGGAAATCGTGTAAGGTGACAATAAAGAAAAATGTTTTGTGAGTTGAAAATGATCGAAAAACGTTTAAAATGCCGGTAAAAAGCCCACATACAAATAAAAAAGAACTCACTTGGAAAGATTTATCGTGAATCGAACGAAACGAACTGTTTATTTGCGTTCGCCAAAAATTCGACCAAAATATTGGTGGTCAACAAATAATCAGATTGACTGAAATGTTTTTTTGATCGAATCAAAATCACTTTGTTTCCAGGACAAAATCAAGCAAAATCAGAATCAGAAGCGAACGGAACGAACTGTTTCTTTACGTTTGAGGAAAAAATCTTCCTGAAAATCGACGTTTGAAAAAATAAGACCGCAAGAAGTTAATTAATTCTTGAGATTCCACAAAAATGACAAAGGTGGACCATATGAATCTATTTATAATTTAAAGAATAACTGCGTTTGATGCAAATCGGTGTTGTTGAGTAATGAGCACGAAATGTCTTCTAAATGGGAAAACCTACAGTTGAATGTCAAAGAAACAAAGCCCAGATAATAAAGCATTTCGTGATTTAAAAAAAACGCCAATTTCTGTTCAATATGATCCAAAAATGTCCAAATCTTTCGTATAAAAAATCACAAAGCAAACGTACATAACACACGCTTACGAGAAGAAAAAATACCAAAAACTGAAAATATATAGCAACTCTAAATATATAAGAAAACATGGCAAAAATCCGAAATTTAGACCGGTTTTGGGGTGCTTTGAAGCACGTGATTGATCGATTTTCAAAGTTAAATTCTGCTTGCGCAAAGTGTTTGCAACTTTTTTTTGGGGAAGTTTTGTCTGCCGGATCATCATATGATTGTTAACTGATAACCGACCAACGAGTGGGTCGATTATCGAAACAATAACAACTAGAAGTTGAATGTTTACGCCAGTCCAAATTCAATTATTTCGGATAAGAAGCGATTTTTTAGCACAGGTTTAGATTAAGATGACTGACAAGGCGATTTCGGTTGTTTTTCTTAAATTTCGTTAAATCGTCAATATGCAGGGCTACACGTGGCTGTGGCACTAGTAGAAACACAAGATAAAGAAAAAACACAGGAAGAAACTGTGGAATTTTGGAATTTAGAAGAAGCTGCAGCTGTTAAGCAGCTACCAAGTTTCAGCGGTTGACAGTGCAATCCGTTGAGTTTTGCGCTTTTTAAGTGAACTGGGCTTTTGCCAAAAAAATCATGCCGACAAAGTTTCAGTCAATTCAGATAGAAAATTGCAAAACGTGCATCTAAAAATTCAAAACTTCGACCCCGGAAAATATATAATGTTGTAAATTTGCTGTTTAAAGAAAAAGCTTTGGTTTCAGTGCACTCAAAAATTGAGTAAATTCTTACGATGCATGGAATTTGAGACGTTTTTAAACTTCACCGAAAAAAGCGCCTTTTCAGACATTTAACAGACCTTTTAGCTCCTAGCATAGAGCAGATCAGAGCGTGACACTCCAAACATTTGAGCTCAAAAGCGTTGAGTTCAATACATTCGGAGTTTCACTCAATTCCGACCAGGCACTGCATTTGGTAATTTTTTTTAAATTTTTCCTCAATAAGCGATTATTTTCAATTGAGCGGATCGATTTATAAAAATTCATAACTCCTACCCTGGCGCAGGTAAACGACTGATCTTTCGGACTTTTATAGCAAAAGCTTTCAGTTGATTACACTCGCAGTGTGGCTCAATTCCGACGAGTCATTGGGTTTTCCCGAATTTTTTTAAACTGCCTAAAAAAGTGATTTTTTTTCAAATTGAGCAGACCGATGTATAAAAATGCATAACTCCTACCCTCGTGCATGTAGGAACCGCCAAGATGATTTATAAAAAAGCCTTAGGTTAAAATGCGCAAAGTTTCCGTTCAGCTCGAACTCGCCACTGGAGTTTAGGGAGATTTCTGCCCAATTCAACACACATTTACACGAACATTAACAGATGAATGAGACGATTCTTTCCATCAATCACGCCTTGTTAAATAACCGTGCCAAGCACGACCGCTTTGGTAAACTTGAAAATCGATTGTTCTTTGCGCCGGTCCACCAAGGCACCAACTCGTGCAGAACCGAATCAACTAAGCACTCACCTGTCGTAACATATTGTTGCCAGTGGAGGAAGACGAGGAGTTCTTGGGAGGCTCCACCATCTGCCCCCTGTTGCTCATCAGGCGCGCATTGCTCCTGCTATCCATCCGCACCCCATGGTCGTCGTCCTGCTGATTCAACAGCTCCTTCAGAATGCGATCGCGATTCCCGTCCTGCTGATCGTTCATATGGCTGCTGTTCGCATTGGCCGTTGGAGGATTGGTCAGCAGCACCCGGAGCCTGCACAAACAATCCACCCGATCATTAAGGCGATGCTGGCAAGCAGCCGATCAGAGCGCTACCTTTGAGGCCCTGGATGGTTGCTCGGCTCATCTAGTGCTTTGGTATCTTTCTGCTCATCAACCGGATAAACTGGCTGTTCGGAAAAGTCCTCCATGAGACCCAACAGCATGTAGTTGCTCGGTTGGCTCTGCTGTCCCTGATTGGCGGTGATTGGCTGTCCTGGACTGGCCATCGTCGTGTAATGCGTCATCGGACTTTGGACTACAGTAGGCGCATTGCTGTACGATGGATTACTTGGTGGCCTGTTTAGGAATTATATTGTTCGAGTTAGTCGGGGCGGGAGCGAAAGAGAAGTTATCATGTTGGAAAATCGTTCACACTGATGATGGTACAAAACCAGTTTTTTTGACTCTTTCTTCCATAGAAAGTCGCAAAGATCAGGACAATAACACAAGAAAAACGAGCAAATTACCTGGGCGTTGGTGTCGAAACCGGAGTTAGACTCTGCCTAGAGTTCGGCCTAGCAGTTTCAGGCCAGGGCGGCTCCAAGTCCCACGTTGTGGTGGGGAAATCCAATGAAGGAAAATCGTTGTCCAGAAATTCCGTGGGGAAATTCGTGCCGGATGAAGCTGTCTGGATCAGACTCGCCGTGGACGCTGAGGAGGAAGGAGGCCCGGAATCGCCAATGGAAGGGGGGCCATTGCGAGTGGGGGTTCCGACTCCATTCACTATGCTGTTCATCAGGGGTCCCCCAATTCCCCCACCTGGATCCAAAGTGTCGTTGTCACTGAAAAAAACAAGCGTTTAGTCTACCAAATGGTTGGGGGCACTTGATTGGACACAGCTGAAAAAAACCCTGATATTTGAGATGTTTGTCCATTTGCAACTGAGAAAATGCGTGTTTTCCGGCTATGGTTTTATCGCTTGAAGACTTCGAGTTGATCATCGGCCATGTTGGGACACTCGTATTTCATTCAAGTTGAACAGCCAGTGAGTTTAACTTAAAAAGTGATTTTTGAAGCTGGAAAATCCTGTGGGGGTCTGTAAAAGTTCAAAACTCCCTCTCTGCCACAGATGAAAATGCAAAATTGGGCGTTCATCGAAGAAGCCTTGAGTTTAGAACACGGAAAGTTTCATTCCATTCTTATAACCGGTTGATTTTGCAAAAGCTTCAACCTTTACCTCAAAAAGAAAACTTTCAAAATTGCGCCGACTCGTCGCCAAAAAATAACTTCTCAGTTTGATTTGCGAAATTGCTGACATTGTGGGCATTCGCAGAAAAAGTGAGTTGACCGTGGGAGAAGTTTCACTCATTTACAACGCGTCACTGAGTTTTTCAAACATTTTCAACTTTACATTGAAGTATCTTTTTAACTGGCAAAGATAATCGGTTAAAAGTTGGAAAATTTACTGAAAAAGCCTTTGATCTTAACATGTGCAAATAGAAAATCAACTGCGGCAAGCCATTGAGTTTTGCAAATTTTTCCTTAAAAAATATTTTTTTTTCAAAGAAACGTTTTTATTAAAAATCCGTATGAGGCAGCCATCTGTTCAGAATTTTATAACTTCTTCCTAACAAAATAACACCCTTGAATTCAATGGATACCAAACTTGACTCTATTTCAACTGTCCGCTGAGTTTTGCGGCTTTTGTTAAATTTACTTTAAAAAGTGATGTTCTTCAATTGAGGAAGCGTATTTTTAAAAACCGATAATTCTAACCCTGGAGCATATAAAACAACGAGTTTTTGGAAACTTATAGAAAGAGCCTTGAGTTCGACGCATACAAAGCATCAGTTAATTGCTACGCTCCATTGAGTTTTGCGGACCTTTTAAACTTTACCTCAAAAAGT